GTGCGTGTGCGTGTGCGTGTGCGTGTGCGTGTGCGTGTGCGTGTGCGAGCGAGCGAGGGAGTGAGTGAGTGAGTGAGGGTGTGAGTGACAGTGAGTGAGAGTGTGAGTGAGAGTGAGTGTGAGAGTGGGTGTGAGTGTGAGTGAGAGTGAGTGAGAGTGAGCGTGAGAGTGAGTGTGAATGTGAGTGTGAATGTGATTGTGAGTGGGTGAGAGTGAGAGTGAGAGGGTGAGAGTGAGTGTTAGAGTGAGTGAGAGTGAGTGTTAGAGTGCGTGTGAGTGTGTGAGAGGGTGAGTGTGAGAGGGTGAGAGTGAAAGTGGGTGTGAGTGTGAGAGTGAGAGTGGGTGGGTGAGTGGCGAGTGAGAATGAGCGAGAGTGAGTGTGAGTGAGAGTGAGAGTGAATGTGAGTGTGAGTGTGAGTGAGAGATAGTGAGTGTGAATGAGAATGAGTGAGTGTGAGTGTGAGTGATAATGAATATGTGTGTGTGAGTGTGAGTGTGAGTGTGAAAAGTCCCACGAAATCTGCACTTCGAGGTTCACAAAGTGCTACGCCTGCTTCGAAGTCTGCACTTCGAGGTTCATAAAAAGTGCTGTGCCTGCCACGAAATCTGCGCATCGAGGTTCACAAAGTGCTACGCCTGCTTCGAGATCTGCACTTCGAGGTTCACAAAGTGCTGTGCCTGCCACGAAATCTGCGCGTCGAGGTTCACAAAGTGCTGTGAGTAGCGCCGTGCTTGTCACGAACTCTGCGCATTGAGGCTCACAAAGTGCTGCGCCTGTCACGAACTCTGCGCGTCGAGGTTCACAAAGTGCTGTGCCTGCTTCGAAATCTGCGCGTCGAGGTTCGCAAAGTGCTGCGCTTGCCACGAAATCTGCGCGGCGAGGTTCACAAAGTGCTGTGCCTGTCTCGAAATCTGCGCGTCGAGGTTCACAACGTGCTGTGCCTGTCACGAACTCTGTTCACAAAGTGCTGTGCCTGACGTCGAGGTTCACAAAGTGCTGTGCCTGCCACGAAATCTGCACGTCGAGGTTCACAAAGTGCTGTGTGTGCGCGTGTCACGAGTTCTGCGCGTGGAGGTTCACAATGAGCTGCGCCTGCCACGAAATCTGCAAACAAGCCACATGTCCAAAAGTCACGATTCACTGCACCTGTCACGAAATCAGGGCTCGTCGAAGATCACCGCCATGTCCAAAGTGCTGTACCTGCCACGAAATCTGCATGTCGAAGTAAAACCGCTCCGATCCCTTGCACCTGTCACGAAAAGTTGACTTTGGACCACGAAAACACGAGGTTTCCTTTGCGCCTGCCACGAAAAGTGACCACCATGTGCGAAAATGCGCACGGCGCCACAACGAGAGCGCAGTCACTAGAAGCACCCGCCGCGCCCACGCAGATTTCGCGAGCCTGCGCAGTCGAAATGCACTTCGAACATTTCCAGACACATGAATGTACTGTAGCTATAGCCGTTGAAGTAGGCGCGCTTCAGCGATCTAAGCATCAGCTGCTTTACTCCTATAAGTGTATCCACACTGTTTTGGGGAAAAAAAAGTGAACCTTTGGACCAAGCCCTTTGGACCAAGCAGTCGTTGTGAAGCTGACAGGGCATGCTTTGCGGGCCTATTTGGGACGATCGGAATCCATTCCGGGCTACAATTTCGTTCGCCTTCTCCCGTATTTGAAATTTTGGCAATGAACGCAGCGATACGTTTGAAGGCTACGGCTCCCGAAACTTCCCTACTGGCCAGCAGTTCTGTGTTGGGCTGCATTGAACATCACCCATAGGTCAGTTGAAATCATGTTCGATGACAACTTCCCTATTCCTTGGCAAACAAATGATTAAGAAGGAGTTGATGCCAACGGCAGGTTCGATGCCAACGACCTCCGGTGGCTGCCCACCGGGGAGGCTGCCGCGAAGGTCCGCATGAGCAAAGAGGCGCTCTCCAAAGGGAAAAAGGGGGTGTTCTGGCGAGTATATTGTAGCAGTGTCTTTATATTATGTTTATACACATATATACATTGATGCTCAGTTCAAAGTGTGGTCCTTTTTTGATGATTTACTGGAAGAGTTGTCAGAATTAGGGCGATTGAGGGTCATAATTTTTTCTGTGATTGTTTGGTTTGAATGAGGGTTGGATCTAATTGTTGAGGTTCGCTGGGTTCTTGCGATTGGCTGTGGTTTCTCGTTTCATCCGTCCGTGGTTCGCCTCATCCCTTTTACTTTTGACCTCTTCAACGTCGGCCACTTCATGTTGGTCGGATCACCCGGCATAGTGTGATACTGGGGCCTCGCTTTAGGTCGTATCAACTGGAGGAAGATCGTATCAAAACGGTGTGCCCTTGGGGATTGGTTTATCATAGTTTATCTATGGATGTTTGTTTTTTCTCTATTTGTTCTACGAACTGATGTTAAATGCGCTTTGCCCGTGCGGTTCTTTGTTTCATAGATTCAACAACCTTTGTTGCATCGGTGTGTGAAGGTGTTCATAGTCTCTTGGTGTTCATAGTCTCTTGTAGAGCAAACATCATTTCCAAAATGGGAGAAGTGCAATGCTTTGCTGGTATGATTCATGCCGCAGAGGCTCTAGTGACTCTATAGTGACCATCCGGGTGCTGCTTCAGTTCCATCGGAATGGGGAACGGCGAATCTCGAGTGAATCTCGTTGGCGGTGAGAAGGGCAATGCACTTATATTGGGGCAATCCCAATGCGGCAGATCACTCCTGATCACCAAGCCGGACAAGGATGTTTGTGGAGTTCATAGACAGGAGTGCCAGTGGCGCTGGAAGCTCGAAGTGTGGAAGAAAACTTCGGAGGACAAAGCTCTTCAAGTTGTGATCCGGCATGATTGGCATCCTCAAAAGACACTCGACAGCAACTTGAAGCTCACAGAGGATCCTTGGACATCTCATCACCACTGGGATGTGATCCAGGTGGACAAGGAGTTCATCTCGCCTCTCCAATTTCGCAATGCGGCCACAGGTAAATACTTGGCATTGCAAAACGGGAAACCATGCCTGAGCACAGAGCCCAGATGCATCCAATTGCTCCCAGCAGGAACTGCACCTTCCCCTGGACAGACAGTCGCGTGGGGTGTTGGTGTGCCTTTGGCGATCTTTGTTGTGGCTGGGGCCGGGCTTGTGGCTGGCGCTGGAGTTGCAGGTGCTGAAGCACTCGCATGCCTTCCACTGGGATTGGGTGCGTATACCGTGGGCACGGTAGCTGGAGTGGCAACCTTTGCGGGTGAGCTAGTGGCACTTGTCAAGTACACTTCAGAGAACCATGGGAAAGTGTTTGTGGACAAGTGCTGAGCTGAACGTCAAAGGTGAGTTGAAGCTGTAACGGATGCCGTATCGTGGGCATTTTCTCCCCTTCCAACTTGAGCAACCGCCAAAACGTGCAATGACTAATTTGGTAAAGAGCGGTCGTGAATCTCAGGAATTGGGCTAAAACCTGCGAAAATGATACTGGGCCACCCTCAAAAGCGACAACGCTATTTCCGCAGATTTTGGATATGTTCAGCTATGTTGACATTGTGGCTAAAACCTGCAAAAGCGATAGGTCCCCCTAAAAAACGATAACCTTGCTGAATCATGTCCTCTAATTGACAGTATGTTTTGGCAGACGCTCGCATGGGTGGGTTTCACAAACCTCAGTGTGGTGTCATGCAGCGAACAGATGCACGAAGGACAATGCACAAGGCACATCACAGAGCAAAATACTTTCAGCCTCCACCTCCTCCTCAAATCACCACTGTACTTTCAGAATTTCATGTTCACACCTTAAGGTTTGTTCTTTGTTCCGTTTCTTGTCCACACGCTGCGCTTTTGACTTACCTGAACTAATGGCTCTGCGGGTGAAGCTTTGTGCAGCTTTCGGCTCTGCCAACATCATTTGCTGAAGCACCTTTGTACAGATCGAGCGTCGTTCGAAAGTGCAGCTTTTACATATATATATATATATATTTGGCAGTCATGTCACGAGGTTCGGAGGTCACGACCTGTAGATGAAGGATGATGAGGGGTTGCTTTTTGCGGTCATTTGAACGCTCTAGACCCCAGCTTCGTGACAAAATGGTCCTCCAGTGCTGAAAACGCCCACCGTTATGTCGGTGGGAGGCAGCCAAGAACTGGCGCCTTGTCTTGGGCCAGCAGAGCCTGCCGCTTTCGGAGATTCGCAAAGCTTCGGCAATGGGGCCACACTTTCTGGCGGGGCAGCTCAGTTTCGAGTGATTCGAGGAGTCACAGATCAAAATATATACCCGGCCGAGGTTCACTGGAAGTGTAGTGCTTGCCAGTTGTCCATGAAAACCCGGTCACCTAGATCCACTGCTGAGCTGGAACATCCGCCCATGAACATCTCTTCACCTCACCTAGCTTCACTTCGTATTTGGGGAGACTGAACATGAAACAAACAGTGAAAACAAGAAACATGCATGGCTGGGCAATGTGGCCCGACCAATTTTGGGCGCATGGGTGGGAGGGCTGAGCCGGGCATTTCGTTCATCGGCCATGCAGATAGGCAACTACTAAAGCGAACGAAAACATCAAACACTTCATGGAGTTGGTGCTTCCAACCATGAAATGCCTCGTTTACTGCGAGTTTTCGAGGTCTTGGACTTGGAGAAGCAAGGCCACGTGGGGCTTCGCTGCGAGGATGAGCCCGAACGCCGAGGGAGGATTCAGTGGTTGGTGCCATTGGTGCGCAGGTCTACAAAACTGTTGAGGTTTTCACAGGGCACATTGACACAACTTTGGAATTGAAATCCGGACACTTGTGACGTGCCAAACTGAAACTGTGGTCTCTACAAACCGGGAACAAAGATCATCAAGTCTTTGCAGGCCAGACGGGCACCGCTCACCATCCCTTGAGGCTAGGCTTGAAGCAGTTCACTGCGGAGCTTTTGCGGAGGAAGGCTGTTCCTTGGAAAGTCTGGTAGGGAGGTGTTCTTCTGTCTTGGGTCATCACCAGGTAGTTCCACAGATTGTAAATCATAATCATCATTTGTCCTTAGCTAGGCAGAGTTCATTGATGGGAGACCAGCAATTGAGGTCATGGGTTTGCGCTTTCAAAAGTGACTACTTATGGGGAGTCCACGGTTAGAAATTCGAGTACTCACCGTGGTGCATTGTTGGCACATGTTGGCACCAACCACCGAGGATTACGAGCGCTTCGAGCAATACGATCAAAGCAGCAGCTCGGACGGATGCCTTTGTCACGCCAGCGGTTGCGCTTTCATGATCCTTTGGTTGAGTGCTGGCCCCCTCCCCTGCCCCCATTGTTTTTACATCATTTTACATCCCGAAACTTGCAGACCCATCAGACCCTCTTCCTGAGAATAGTAGATGACCCCATGTTTTGGAGTAGTTGCACAACCAATTCAGGGAGAACAGGCAGACAAATGGTCTCCTTGTTCCGATCCAATACACATCCACGTGTTTGTCATGGCCTTGTGATCATATCCACATTCGAGACTGCAAAAGCCTTCCCCCAAGAGGTGCTGTGGGGCACGTGGATGGATGACAACAGAATAAACCTGAGAGATTTATATTATGTCAGTTTGCTTTTTGCATTTTTTGCTTTTGCTGTCAACCAAACTCAAAACCTTCCAGGTGTTCAAAGCTACTTCCAGTACTATGCAAAGCTGTCCAACCAGCAGAGCCTCGGGCGGATGGGATTTTGCAGCTCGGGCGTATGGTGACCTTCAATTCAAAAGGATGGTCCTACCGTGTCCCACCGAAGCAGGCCGATCCATGTCATCCTTCTTTTTGTTTTGTTGGTTGACCATTTGACCCGATGTACACATCCAATTTGCTTGCACCAGTGGTGTTGCAAACCATGTGGGGCTTGGGCCATACCATATCTCCTGATTTTTCAGCAACTTCCCAGCCCATGCCTGCTCGTATTGTGCAAATTCAAGAGGCATGGTCCCCCTGTCTTTCCTCGTCTCCCCATGAAAGAATGCCATACAGTTCAGGTCAAACAAGTAGAGGTGGCCATCAAATTGTTGGGGCAGAGGGCCGCAGAAAGACATTGAAGTGCGATGGTAGAATCGTTTTGATTGGCTGACCATGGCTGAGTCGAAGTGAGGAATATGCTCCAAGATGGAGTGCGGACTTCCACCTACAACAGAGCCATTGTCGGGGCGCACAGTGGTTGAAGCACATGTGATAGAAGAAACCAAGATAGTATATAAAAGCAGACCGTAACCAAGATGATACGGAAAGATTGAACCTAGCGTCCTCCTGCACCTTCGACAACTGGCAGCCGATTAATTGACATGATTGTGGGTCAAAATCAGGCTTGGTTGACATCCTTAAATCCCGAAACAATCGAAACCAAACATACTACGGAAGCCAACTTCTCTTTTGGGGTTCGAGCTTTTGACCCGCAATCCAATTTGAATATGATTGAAGAAGAGCAACTATGACCTCGATGGTCAAAGGTTACACCTGCGCGGTCAATGCAAAGGTGTGCCATTGGGAGGTGCTTGCCCTGTAGAAACCCTGATCTAACAGCTCTAAGGGGGCTCTAAGTCTATGAGTCTGCCAAAACACATCCGGATTTAGCTCTGAGACATGCCCATATGGACCATATGTTTCTTTTGCGTGCGCTAGGCATGTGCAGATCCCCAAATGAGGAACCCCCCCTTGCACCATATGCCATTAGGCCCAAGTAAGATGTTTCGTGGAGCTTTAGTCTTTTTTACTTACATCCGACTTCTCCGAAGGTGGAGAATCCCGATGACTTTGCGGGAAAGTCGGCGATGGACCTGGGAGCTGGCAGCGGGATTCTCTCCTTTTTTGCGGTGCAGGTGGGCTGAACGGATTTCTGACTCCTCAAACGGATGAGGCAAAACATTAAATTTTCCAAACGAGACAACCTACTAGCAATGGCCTCCAACCTAGAAGCGATGGCCTCCAACTTACTAGCAATGGCATTCATTTCTCCAAACTCAGCTCACTTGATCAAAATGGATGCTTGGTGATGATGTGCTTGGCAGTAGGAAATTGTTCAGCATATTCAACAGTTAAGCTTTATTAGCTTTCGAGTTCTCTCTTCCTCTCTATGCGTCTAGTCTGTTCGTTTTGTTCCTTTGGTCCAGAGACCATGCATCAAGCCTTAGCCGTGCCGGCCAAGCTCCTTCGGCCAGGCAGGGGCCGAGAAGGTCTACGCGGTGGAAGTGGGACACTCGGCCGGTGCGACGGTTTGGCCAATGGCCACTGCACAGAGAGTGATATCGAGAGGGCTATGTAGTGTGAGATGACATGGGTTGATACTTGTGGCTTCTTGACGTGCAGATTTTGAACATGTGATGTGTGATGATGTGTGATGTGCAAATATCTCATTTCTCTTTTGCCTTCGACGCGTTGAAGGATGCGATGTTGTGGCCTGGCCAGATCTCGTCGTTTCCGCTGCCTGCCACAGGCCTCGTCTATGGGTGAAGTGGTTCGGCTCCTGGCCGATGCCAACGCATTTCTCACCAAGAAGATCCAGGCCACACTGGTGGACGATTCAAGAGACACTCAGCCGTGTTTGGCTTCCACTTGCTTCTGCTCGTGGCACTGGTGGCAAATCACCATATGGATATGCTGGGACAACACTAATAAGTATGCTGAAAGTGCGGCGCCTTGCCATAGGTCATCAGTCGGCCGGTTGAGACCATCACCCCGTCTGAGCTGGACGGGAAGGCGGTCATGTGAGATCATGTGAGGTTCAAATATCAACATGTTCTGTAGAAGGGCAGGTAAGTGACCATTGTCAAATCTCAAAAGGCATTTTGAAGGCCTTTTGAGCACACCCACCAGACTTGTAATCTACATCGTTTTGCAACAAACTCCGGCCCCTCAGAGAAATTCAGAAAGCTGGGAGAGCTTTTCCCGCCCAAGATGCAGGTGGACGTGCTTGTTTCCGAGCCAATTGGGACCTTCCTCTTCAACGAGAGGAGTGCGTTGGCAAGGGGAACAGCAGAGGGTGCCCGGCCTCAAACCGACAAGGGAAGGCCTCAAGTCACAGTGTTTTGATTTCAATATTGAGACTTGAGGCTGGGCATTTGACAATCCCTTCAGGATGATCGAAAGCTATCTTTGCGCAAGAGATCGCTTTCTCAAGCCCGGCGGCAAGATGTTCCCCAACGCGGGAACACTTTGCGGGGAAGCCTAAGGAGAGCTGACATCACTAGACCACCCAAAGCTGTGAGTGGAATGTTGCACATACGCTTGCAACAGTTCCACCCTATTGTAAACCTGCACAGACAAGCCTATAGCTCAGGCCTAGCTCTGGGAATCCTTGCACCTTCCCATCCTTCTCCCATCAGTTCACTTGTGGCAGCCTCCACCTCAGGTGTCGCACCTTTCTCCGACTCCTTGCTTCATTGGGAACAAGCGAACAAGACGCACAGCTGCATTCACTCGCGAGTTTTGGAGTAGCAGACTCATGCTTGAAAGAAAGTCGCTGGTTGAGTTGTGAAATGTGCTGAGGAACGGATTCTGGAAGAACACCAACTTCTATGGAATCGACCTGTCTGCGGCTGTCCAGAGATGTACAAAGACAGGGAGGGTTGAAATGAAATGGGAACATTGCATGCGCTGCGTTGTGATAAACTTTCACCCGCAGGTCCAGCCATTCGATGCCCTTTGCTCCTAGTAGTGTCCTTGCTCCTAGTAGCGATGCCAGGAGCCCCTAGTAGCGTCCTTGCTCCTAGTAGTAAGGCCAGGAGCCCCTAGTAGCTTCTTGTTACCAGTAGCTTGTCGGGTTGTTGTGCTCTTCTCATGTTGAGAGTGTTCAATCCAGTTCCATGCCATGCCATTTTTCTTGGGGCGGACTCCCTGACTTGACCGCTGAAAGTAAGATAAGTGAAGCAACGGCCCTGTTTATGGTTGATGATGGCTGATGGAATCGATATGGTTGCACTGAAATGCCCGACGGCCCCTTCCTGACAGAATTGCAGCTGTCGATAGCCTGGGGTGCCTTTCCCAACATGGCTTGGACTCCAGGGAGCATTTCCGGCAGCCCATTGTGGACTACATCAACCCCGAGTGCTTGGTATCCAAGCACATCGAGACCAGGTTGGAGGGTGAAAGCTTCAGTTGTCGCACGGTGAAACCTTCAGGTTAGACTGTTAGTTAGACCAAAACTGTTCGACCTAGGCGAGGTCTCTTGACCTGATATATGCCTGATGCTTCAGCAACCTTTGGGTGCCTTCCCATAGCAAAAGGAACAAATCCTCATCCGTGCTTCCTTTAGCGGGACATAGCGGGATGAAACAGGACCCCTTCCTGAAGCAGAACACGGAGCGGGGCAGGTTGTACTGAACTCGCGTCTTCTCGCACTTATGTATAGGAGCAAGGACGCTACTAGGGGCTCCTGGCATCGCTACTAGGAGCAAGGACGCTACTTAGGTCCAAAGGGCAGAAACCACAGCACTGGGCCCGTTAATTCTTCGTGGCTTGTGGCAGGTTTGATTTCATGACGATCTCGGTGGAGTCCTTGCAGAAGCCTGGAGTCCCCAGGGCGTTCGATGAACCTCAGAGCTGCTCCAGCAGTAAGGTGGTGTTTGATGGTTCTCGACTCGACTCCAGAATCTAAACAAATCTAAACGGGAGATGCTCAAACAAAGCTTGGCCGTGTTGTATACATCTTTCTTGATCTTTCTAGTGCCCTGTGACTTTGACTGATTTCCCGACTGGCGCGTGCAAATCATATGTTGTTTTTCCCCAAACCGTGTGTGCACACTAGGGGTTCTTATGGTAGTGGTTAAGGATGGTTAAGGACTGTTGTTTGATCGGAGATTCTCATCGGCGTTTGCGGCTAATTCGCTGCTATTTACAATACATTCATTCACCTCGAGATCTTCGAAGTGCATTTCGATTGCGCAGGCTCGCAGAATCTGGTGGACGCGGGCGGGTGCTCTTCGAAACTGCGCTCTCGTTGTGGTGCCGTGCGCATTTTCGGACTAAGTGAGCTGCTTTTTGGTGTCGCAAGCAACTCAATCTGCGTAGCGCCGCCCCAGCTGTCCTCCACGGCGCCTCCCCTGAGTGGCAACATGGATAAATTTACCTTGGACTTCGCGCGTTGGGGAGCGTTGTGGCTTACCCATTGCCAAAGATCGTCTCACACTCAATATACACACTCAGGGCCACAGTGGGTCGCTTCAACTAGTATACAAACGCAACTTCATTGGATTGCTTGTGTGGCGTATCCGGCAGTAGACTCATTGGGTCATGTGCTCGGGCAAAGCTTCTGTTGACTTTTTGCAGCCAATTTCCAGCCTCAGCTACATCTCATGATGTCTCACAATTGCTTGATACGTCTTTTTTTTCTGCGCTTATTAGGTTTCGTCATCGCTGCTGCTTTCTGTCTCAAGCGTTTTGGTAAACTTGTTTGCAGCTCTAGCTGCAGTCCTCGCAGTCCTCCGGCTTGGTGTGAAATCTCAGTTCGGACAAGCCGACACGCGCGACATTTCACATGCCACAACGCATGAGAGCGTGAACGTTTTCATATGACTTAATTGTCTGAAGTTTTCACGAGTGCTTGTTGAAGGGCATGGTTTGTGGATTCCGTGAGTTTGAAAGTCAAGCCAGTCACGTGTGAGTGGTGATCTTGGTGGGGAGGTGGCGGTTGATCAACTGCGATGGTCGCACGACAGCAGCAGTGTCCGATTCAAAGATGATGGGCGCATAGTGGCAACTATGTTGCAGCCAGTTGCAGCAAGTTTTGGACGGCGAACTGCGGGTCGCAGTCACAGACGTTCCAAAAGTCCAAGTTATGGAAGCTGCAGAGGACAGGATCGTATTTTTCACATTGTGCGGGAACAGAAGGCTGATGCAAGCTTGATGCCATGATGGCGCTTTGAAGCTTTTTAAAAGGATGAACAATGAGCAAATCTGACGAAAACGCGCGATCAGCACCATGTGCAGCGCCAGCCAAATCAGACCTTAGTTGCGGAGCGACTACTGTATATACACGCTCTTGATTTTCATACCTATGTTCTAAGCCTTGAACCCCTTCATGTCATGCTTTCAACATCAAGATGTTCTAAGTGATGACCATGGCCAATGTTCTATAAGTGTAGCTGCAAAACCGCCTTTGCTTGTTGACGTTCAACATGCCTTTGCTTTGTTGACGCGGGTTTTGGAGGATGTGTTTTTGCGGCCAAGTCTGCCACAGGAATCTTCCTGTTTACAGTGATTCCAAGAAAACACCAAACCCTTGCCCCTGTAAGACAACAACACGTGGCGCTGCCGAACTCAATGCTTTGTCTGAAGTTTGCCTGAGGAAACTCGAGTGAATGGGCGGTGCCGCCAGCGCTTCCACAGGTCACGCCTAGAAAAGTTGCGCTGCAGCTGCTTGAATTGGGAATCCTTTCAAAAGGCTGTGCAGAGCTGTTTGCCCAACCCTGAGTGCGTGAACAGCTGGTCACCTTGTGCCTTCCACACTCCTCCTCCCACGTGGTGGACAGTCGCCAGATACCAGCCAGCCGGCAAGTTGGCTGAGCGGCGCTGCAAATGATGCTGGGACGCGTGCCCTTAAATTGGCTTAAATCCTAGTCACTATGTAGCCCTATATATATATATATGTGTGTGTGTTCACTGTACACACACACACTTTACATCCCCGTACATGGAACTTGTGTCGTGGTACGAGGGCTCCTTTAGGGGATGTGATTGGCTGGTGCGTGGAGACGACCAGGTCAGTGGCCAGGTTTGGCCCGAACTTTGTGAGTGTGAGTGTGACCAGTGAGTGACCCGCGCGACCCGGTTCCTTCTTGAATCTTTTGCGAAGGGATTGCAACGGACCATTGTTGAACTGAGGATTGAAATCCCGTTCGACTTCGAGATTTCGCAACCCTGCTTGGTGCGAGACACAGACAGACAGGGAATGTCGGTGGGGCCAGGTGAAAATGGTGAACAACGTTGAGAGATTCGATCGATGATTGTAATGTCATACCATCATTTCTTAAGCTTCAACTCTCGGCTCCGGCACCGAAGGCACTGGTTTGGTCGGCCGATTCGCGTAAACTCGATTTGCCCTTGATGATGACCACACTTGCCACTACTGGTCATGCAGCGCTGGATTTGCGCGAGCAAAACTTTTGGGTCCAGGTCCATGGTTTGGCGGGCTGGTTCGACGCCCACTTCGAGGCATCTTGTGAAGGGACGCGGTCGCCCACAGATCTGGGGCATGTAAACTTTGGTTCTGGTTTTCATCGTATTTTTGTATGTGGTTGTCGATCTAAAGGTCCTAATACATAGCGTTGATTACGATGACCCTGGAACATGTCAAAACCTCATTTGGCGAAAGTTTTTCTCGAGTTCGCGAAAAAATTTTTGGCGAAAGATAAAGATGTTCTTTCTGCTGCTGTTGCTGCTACTACTACTACTCCTACTCCTGCTGCTGCTGCTGCTGCTACTCCTGCTGCTGCTGCTGCTACTACTACTACTACTACCACTACTACTACCACTACCACTACCACTACCACTACCACTACCGCGGCTACTACTACTACTACTACCACGACTACTACTACTACTACTGCTACTACTACTACTCCTGCTCCTGCTCTTGCTTTGGGGGACGGCTTTGCTACAAAACTCTACCCTGCAAAAGGCGAAAATTTGGCGAAAATTCAGCTCAAGATTGGCGAAAAATCACCCTGCCACATCTGACCCCCAGCCCAATATGAGTAAGTCTGCGTGACCGGCTACTACAGTGTTTTTTGCAATTTTTGAGATTCTTGCTAAAGAGACATACAGGGTGTCAACAGTCAAGTAGAAGACACATGCTGACAAACAGTGAAATTTTTATTTCGCATTTGCCTTTGCCAGTAAAGAAGAAACCATTGACATGAACAAACTGGATATCCATCATACAACATACATAGCACACATAAATACAGCATACTTCGGCGAAAGATAAAACACAGGAAGGCAAAAATTTGGCAAACAATTTTTTTTCTGGCTAAGAATGACGGATCCCAGATAAAGGAATTTACATGTCACTGCTAGGCCGCTAGGCCCATCGGTGGGCAAAAGATGAATATAAGCACAGTTCAGCCGGGGGGATTGCTTCACCTTGCATTTGCCTGCTGCCCTGCGGATCCCGATTGCTCGCCAGGGCAGTAACCAGACGGTGATCCTATCGACCGCACCGTGGTGTTCTGGAACCCATTGGTGACCTCAGCATGTTTGCAAGCAAAAAAGGTATATTTATGATACATGGTTGTTTACAGCAACAAAGACCATGCTAGCCTGGCATCAGTTCGTCAGACCCCCTTTTCAGAACACACATGTGATTGTTGATGTCGTTTTCAGTGGCGGTTGATTGATTCAGAAGACATGGGCACCGCATGAGGTTTGAAAATCCACACCAATTTCCAAAGATTGAAGCTGGAACATTTGCATCGAGGTACCAGATCAGATTCTTGCTGGAGGTTCCCTTGGCGGTGAATGCAGGTCAGCACGTCGAGGGAACTCTCAAGATGGAGGCGTGAGACGATTGTGTAGGCACAGGCCATGTAGGCCTTCACGAACTTCACGTGGATCAACGTTTGTTGGAGTTCATTTCTGTCGCAACTGACCTTTCTTCGCCAGCAAATTCTGTTCCCCGTTTCCAGCCAAATACTCTTAGTTATTAGGTGGATTTGCGTCATAAAATGTGCATCTCCATTGGCATGTCATGTCTATGGGTCTCCACACGCGTCGCAGGCCAACAACCTTCAGTCCTACTATCTCAGTATCTTCATGAGAATAAAAGGGACTGACCGGTCGAGATGTTGTCATGTTGGATTTGCCACTGAAAGCGGGGTCTCACATGCAAGAGGCGTTGGAACTGCCTCAGACTTCCACGACTTCACGACTGCATGAGCTGTTTTGGAAGCCATGTCACCGCAGCATTGAGGATTTGCGGCCATGCACCCTGAATTATGGTGCAAGCAGTTGGTTGTTCAGCGACTTGCTCCTCCCTGCTTCGGAAAGTACTCTGACCATGGATTGACCACAATAACTATCCATGTCATGATCTGCATGGTCATCCATCCCTTTGTGCTGTCCTCGTTCCCAATTCCCGGAAGTTGCCAGGACTGACATTTCCTCCTCTGCACCGTGCATCGATCTCAAGGACTGAGGGAGCTACGGCTTTTCTGTGAACTACTTGGGCAATCAAGCACTTTGGTACCAAAGATCCGCAAACTCTCACAACAGGAGACATGGATGCCTACTGCAGGAATCCTTTAAAAACCAGAGCGGCTGTGAGTGCTGTTTGGTAAAGCCTTTATACCTATACCTCTCACAGGATCCGGAATACCGCTTCTACACCTCAGCGAACTCCTACTGTCCGTCTGGAGCTTCAGCTTGTGGGTTGCTTCAGCTGGCCACCAGCCGGGAGAGGTTTTGGGAGAGAGGGGTGGCTATGGGGGACGAGGATCTTTTGATTTCCGTACCATTGACCCATAGACCTTGAATCGGGCAGCCACTTGAACTTATTAATATAAATATACTTGAAAGAGGAAGCATGATATTTACAATTGCCGAAATTAAGTGGCCTTATAAATATCCCGATCCCAAGAAACGGAATTTTGCAGAGTGACAGCTGTCTTAGATTGTCTTTTTTAAAAATCCATATGCAAGATGCGTTCGAAGGACGGCATGAGTTTCAGGTTTCATAAGGTTTCACATGTCGTTAAGGACACCTATGGTGATGCATCTTCAGCATCCTAAACAGGTTGAAACATCACCGGCCGGGTCTGATCATCCACCAGATATCACCAGCTCGGGTAGCGGAGGGGTGGTTTGCGGTTTGGCGAGGCCGGGGACTGCGCAGCCGGGCTGGCCCAGAACCAGCGTGGAAAGTGGGAAAGACTTGTGAAGTTGTGAAGATATGGGCCTTTGAGAGCCAACAGAGTTCGTGTACAGCAATATGGAAAAAAACTGATGGCTTCCAACCTAAGACCCAAGAGCGATGGCCTCCATCCTACTGTAATGGAAAATCACCATCCAATCCCAAAAAAACACTGAGGGCGGGAGCTCAACAAGCGGCCACGCCGCAACAATACCAACAGGCGAGACCAGCTGGGTGGCTCATGTGTCAGGCTTTTCGAACATGACAAACTCCTCTAGTAGCGTCCTTGCTCCTAGTAGTACGGCCAGGAGCCCCTAGTAGCGTCGTTGTTCCTAGTAGCGATGCCAGGAGCCCCTAGAAACTTTCTGTACCGAAGAGTCAGAGCACAAGTTGAGATGCTGCGACCATATTTCTTCGATTATTACTTCTGCGCACATCAGCCTGTCTGTCTAGGTGGAAAGTATGATCAAGCAAAGTGAGCAGCATCTATAGGGCGTCCAGAAACCGTCCCTTGGTTTGCTTCCCCATCCTCTGACTGGTGTTCGGGTCCTTTGGCCGTCCCATTGTCTGGTCTACAAGTTCCGTGGTTCCATGCAGCGGACAGTTCTATCCGCTGAACATGTAAGCAGAGCATAGGTCACCACAGACTTGGTAGCTTTATGGAGTCAGTGTCCTACCACGTGACTTTGTGCTCACCGGCTCATAGATTTTCAGATTTTGTTTCTTCCTCTTCCTCTTCCTCTTGCTCTTCTTCTTCTTCTTCTTTTTCTTCTTCTTCTTCTTCTTCTTCTCTCTTAGCGACATTTGCCAGCAGAAAGTCAAGCTCTACCAGAGAAGTTCTTCCTTGGTTTGCTCTTTGGGAGAGAGGCACTTTCTTGGCAGCGGTTTTTTCCCAATTCAGATACAGTTACTCGCTACGGCCGGAGGCGCACTTTGCCCAGACGCAAAACATTCTGCCCGGTCAGGCAGGACCAAAGACGGAGGAAGAACAGTGCACGACTTTTGGCAGAGACGCGCTGAACATAATTTGTGGCTTCCCTTTTTCAACGCTGCTTTCTGTCGGCCATCGGGAGCTCCAGGGCAGCCCAACAACCCCCCACAAGACTGCTCCTTGTATTTCTTAGTTTCCATGGGTGCATCCATTTGTTTGGGATACAGATATTCACTGATGAATCAAGGGAGATACTGGCAGGCATCCGAACCCGCATTCATGTCAGTTGTTGCTCGTGTATTGTCGTTTGAATGAAGAGAATCAACCAGTTTCAAACAGTTATATAACATTATATAACAATGATTTGCAAATGATGACTGAGCGCATTTGAGTAGCCACAGATTTCCATCTAGATGGATGTAGATCCCATTTCTTGATGGGTTTTCTGTGTTCAAGCCATTTGCAACACCGGGCTCGACCTTTGTGCTCCTTGGCGCTTTGTCCAGGCGTTTGGGGCTCCACAGTGTGGCTCTCAGCTTGCGGAACTCGGAGGGGTTCCCAGGAGCTCAGCCATTCGGTCTCCAGGAGCAACTAGTGACAAGAACGCTACTAGGAGCAAAGGGCATCGCTACTAGGAACAAGGACGCTACTAGGGGCTCCTGGCCATACTACAAGGAGCAAGTAGCTACTAGTAACAAGAAGCTACTAGGGGTTCCTGGCATCGCTACTAGGAGCAAGGACGCCACTAGTAGCTCCTGGCCTTACTAGGAACAAGAGCGATGGCCTCCACCCTAAGAGCGACGGCGTGGGGGTCAGAGATCCTGGATTTCCAAATGATACTCATGCATCTTATGACACATGTTTCGCGTAGCGGCTCTTAAGTGATACATAAACTTGAACACCCAAACCTCTGATTGTGAACTTGAGAGCACCCTAGATTTGAATATTTATGCACCCTTCTCTGTGGCGCTGCAGCACACAACGGGGTTGGAAGACTCGGGTTCTTTTCCGATGGACATGCAAGAGACCTGAAAGAGCTCTAAACGCAGAATCTGAGATTTTGCATCCACATGTCGAAGATGAGCAGTTCTGGGAGGATTAGCAAGGTGATGTTTTGGGATGTTCGAAGAACAAATATGCCTGTGGAGTCAATCCCACCAAGCAGCCCCTTCCTCTTGGTGCTTGTGAATGAACGTGAATGAAGCAACCAGACTGTGATGTCTCCCGAGGTCTCCCTGGGTTGAAGCTGGGAGCCTGAGAGCCATTCAGAACTGGGCGTCCAGTGGCCATTGGTAACACATCAGAATATTGGAGACTCGAATGACCAGAGGCTTTATCATGCTTGATCCATCAAAGACTCCTTTGTGGTGTTGTGGGCGGCAAAAAGCACAGCTGTGAGCCAGCAGAGTAACGGTGTTGACCAGCGGGCGCAGAAAATTCTCGATCCATGAGTCAACATCCTGAAGAAAGCGAGGGACCCTGACTGTCTCAACTCAATCTTAGAAGCACATTGACAACCAAGTGTAAGAGCTCTCAGACATGCTTTGCTTGTCACAACCCTTTGATCCCAGGTTTGGGTCCAGGTCTATCCTTGCTTTGCAACTTGTTTTGAGGCGACCGCCGTTTGGGGTGGAGGGCCTCAACGTCCTGAGACCCTTGGCGAAGCGGGCAACGTGCCGCGGCGCCGGTCGCGCTCGGTGACGTCGTCGAACCCCAAGAGTTGTACAGCTGCCCTCTCATCACTCCCTAGTAGCGTCCTTGCTCCTAGTAGCGATGCCAGGAGCCCCTAGTAGCTTCTTGTTACTAGTAGCTACTTGCTCCTAGTAGTACGGCCAGGAGTTGTGTTTGCAAGATTTTGCAAGTGCGCTGCCCAGCTGGCGAGGTTTGGCAGAACATGTATGAATATATTAACCAATGTTAATATAAGTTAACCAAGTTGTCGTAGGTGCGTCACAGGACCCCAGAGAATTGCTGAAGGAACCCTCCCCGAAGGACCATCCCTCATAGAGTTGTTGAGTTTTCGTTTTCGCTGCGCACTCTCAGGACAGGGCAGCCAATGGTCAACGGTTTTGGTCACCGCTGAGAGCGGATGTGGGAGTTCAGTGCCTGAATGCTGCAGCGGAGTCCTGCTTTTCCCCGTTCAGCAACAGGTCACATAGTCACGCATTTGATGGCAGGGCCGCGATTCAGAAGACCATTCCGGTTTTGAGGTTTGATTGTTGTCAATGACTCAGGATGCTTGGGTCAACTTGTTGCGTTGTGGTGAACAGTAAGGCTGCTTCTCTCACAATCCAATACAATCCAATGATTTTGCGCCGGATGACCATCGTGGAAGTCTGCTTTGAACTCGATAGTCCAGCTCTTTTTGAGTATTATTTCTCAGCCAAACCAAGAAGATGCTTGACTTAGCTGGCGGCATCGGGAGTGCCGCAAGAGCGGGGAAATAACAGACATTTATATATGCAGTTCGCTCCTCCCAAACACACCTATGCCATCCTAATGCCGCTGATGCCTGAGACAAATGTTCAAGTGTCCACAATCTAGGACGGGGCACTGCGGGTGTAACAAGAACGCTACTAGGGGCTCCTGGCATCGCTACTAGGAGCTCCTGGCCATACTACTAGGAGCAAGGACGCTACTAGGGGCATCACTACTATGGATCGACCTTTTCAGCCTGCCACGATGGTCGCGTATTGACTCCTTGGGCAAACTCTTTGCGCGGGAAAGGAGAAGTCGAGCGATGGAACAGTGGGTAGCGTGCTTTGTTCCCTTGGGTGGCGTAAGGAGCTGCCGTGGCCATGGTTTGTTTCCCGGAAAAACGCTCAATCCTTGCCGGTCAAGACCTGAAGAATAACACTGCCTTCATTCATTGCGACATCTGTCCAAGCCTCCGAGGAGTTATGTGTCTAAGGAGTTCGACCTTTGCAGATAGCTCCTTGCTCGAACCCGGAGTCCCCCCATAACTTTTTAATTTTGAAGGGCGTGTGACAAATTTGCATCCCGTTTGTTCTGGCTCGGGCGACTGTGCATGTTCCGCGCTTGCGCCCGCCGGGGATCTCAATGAGGGTCGCGTCTTGAGGTTTGTGTTTTGTGGGTTTAAGCATTTTGGACTCTATGCACTCAGCTGCCTGGCATCGGCTCCTTGTTATACATGTTATACGTAGTTCATCCAATTGCTAACCTCCCTTCAAAGGCACGTGCAAGACTGTGAACTACGGCTGACCACATAGACATGCAGTCCCAAGAAACTTGGTTCATGTTTGACATGTTTGGTTTTGCAATGCCACCATGCGATGATACTATGTGTCGGACTGTGACCACTGTGATTTGTGAGGTCAGCAATCTGCTTTCACTTACTCTCACGAGCGATATCCGGACCCTCGTGTGAGGAGGGCCTGAGCGGTCTGGAAAGGGCTGGTTCAATGTTTATATTGTTATTTCATGTTATTTCTATTTACGGGGGTAGGCCGTTAGTAGAGGAAGGAGGTAGTAGCTAGGTAGCTAGTAGAAGCTAGGGAGTCGCTAGTAGCTTAAGTAACTACTAGTATGGACGCAGGATAGCTCTCAACTAATGATTGGGTTCCTAGTTTTGGGGAACTTAACCTCCTTCGTGATTGCTCCATATTGCTCCCAGGGTGAAAGCACGGTCTACCTGCATCGGAGATCATCGGAAAGCATCTGGAGCACTTTTATCAAACAAAGACTTATATATTCTTCAATACATCGGGAGTCAGTTGAGCTGAGTCTAGCCATTTCGGAATCAAAAGCATTCCAAAGCTGCACGCGTACAGAATCCTTATGATCCAATTGTCATGTCGTTTATTATAGTGGATGCTGATTGCGGCCAACCATGCTTTATTATGCATGTCATACTCATACCCACAGAATTGGAGAAGGTATGAGTCTCTGAGGTGTTTCGTCCTTTGTTTCTTTACTTAGCAGCTACTAGTAGGTGATAGGTGTTTCTTGGAAGCTCAAGTATGCTCGCAGTCATCCAATGCAGCGCTCTGCAGGAGCGAATCCAGGTACGTCTTCCGTCTTTGCCACAGGCGATGGGCGCTAGACCCGTGGTACCATGTTTGGTCAAATCCTGACACATTGACTAATCGAGCGAATGATCTGCTCCAAGATCTCCAAGTCACATTGATGATCGGGCGATGTGTTTCCTTTGACACCTTTAACACAATTGTAAAATTATATACGTATCGCCAAAAAGGGCTTGGAATCACAGGTATGAAGCTCTTCAAGCCAAGCAGCTCCGAGCAGCAACTGGACTCCCTTAGGCCGGGCATCGTTTGAAATACAGTAGGGTTTTCCGGGAACTGGGAGCAAAGCATTGGATCAAACATCGTGAACATGTTTGCCATCCAAGTGTGACCTTGAATAAGGTATAACAATTTTGCATGGTGCGTATGGTGCGGTGGAAATACTACACTAAATGCGGTCAGACGGTCAGACTCAAAGAAGACAAGCATATTATCGCATAATGGGCTGTTTATTGTGTTCTGGTACAACCCTAGAGAAGACCCCTTTCAGCTATGGGATAATGCAGCCCCTGTTGAAAGAAGAGGCATCCAGTCGTCCCGTGGCAGGAAACAGAAAATCGAGGTGAAGTGCGAGGCTGAGCACATCAAGCCCAAGCCCGGCTGCGCCCGGATTGATCCTTG